GGAAAGATTGATTATTCTCAGGTAAGAATAACAATATATTGTATGTCGTCAGTTAGAAGTTGTCATTTTGCGAGGGAAAATTGCAGACTTCAGTAGAACGAAACATCCTGGAAGAACACTAGAGATTTGGAGGACAATTTATTCAACAAAAAAAAATTCATTCATATGCATATTGTAATGTCGCAGATGCATAAATAGGAGGTTGAAGTCTCTAGCAATACTACCAAAAAACTCTCCAATCAACTTAAGAATGAATTTGGCAAGGATGAGGAGAATGCTACCAATTCTTTAAGTCTCAGTGCTTCATATTTTTCTTTTTTTTTTCTTAAATATAGATCTGAGTACCTGTGACTAGGTATCTCAGATCTCCCCTTTGACCATTATTTACAAACTCAAGCCAAGGGTCTTGATACTATTGGAAAAGCTATATAAAGTAAAAGAATACATAACAAGATCACTAGCATTTAGTTAAAGATATAAAAAATAATTCACTATTATTAAGGCAGGAAACACAGCAACTTTTATGCTATCAGTTAGCTGAAGTTGTTTCCTTGCTACGTAAAGTTGTTGACTTACATGATGTTGATTTGCGGGATAAAGTTGTGACTTACCTAATCAAAATCACAATCTAGTTGTAGTCATCGTCTTTTCTTTTGGATTAAAAGTTGAGGTGATTGGACCTAATTGATCCTTAGAGTGAACAAGTTCATTGTTGTCCTTGCAAGTTCTCTATGATTCCGACAACTTCATTCACTTTATTTTGCAAGTTGCCTGAACCAGATAACAAAAATGAAGCTATCACCAAACCTCCTCCAAGATACACTTTGCCTATAAAGGAAAGATGCTAAGAATGGGACATTTATTTTTACCTATATGGTATAGGGGCTAAATAACAAGATCAGAAACAAGCTTGGCATTATGCCCTTGGATGGTATGGTAGAGTCACTGTTACAACCCGGCCTGGTGCTTAAAATTAACTAAAGCGGATACGAACGATTTGACAACAAAAATCAATTCTCGTATATTTTATTTCTATCCTTAATAGTTTAACATTCAAACATTCATGAAAGTGCCACAAAAGAAAAAAATTAAAATTAATAAAAAGAAAATTTTGTACCTTTGTGTATGTTGTTCTTGTCTCTTGTTCACATTATCTCCTATTTTATTCATCTTAATCAAAAACTTAAATTTGAAAAACATGTTAAAGTAGCATAATTCATTATCTAAAAATAACTCAGGAGCAATAACACTTCTAAACTGGAGTAACTCATGGAAAAGAATTTAATATACATGATGGTCTTTATATCTCGGTAAGAAATCCTTTACTATGCTAGTCTTTCATATGAAATCTTTGAATATACTAATGATATGCATGCACCAATGATCTTTGTTATTTAACTTTAACTTTATATTTTTTTTACATGCACATCCGTCTATTTTGAGGATCACCATCAAAGCAACCTAACACCATTGACCGATTTTACATCATTGGCTCCCGTTGGCACGACGAATAGTGATGTAAGTATTACAATTGTCTAGGGTGGAAAGACCCTTACCTGCCCCAGATCGATATTATCCCGTTGGCACATCGGTTGGCGATCTAAACATCACAATTGTCTGAGATGGTAAGATCTTTATCTACTTGGCCTGACTGATGTTACCTCGTTGGTATAGTGGTTAGTGAACTAACTATCATAATTGTCTAGAGTGATAGAAAAATATCTACACGCATGAGTACATCAGTGTCCCTTGCCTATACCATTAGGGGGTGAACTCCACCTCTGAACATGCAAATACAAGCGTTTATGTATACCATATTTTCATTTCACCATTCAGAGCATTCATTACTTTCATATCATGCATCTATTTTCATATGAAACGCTTTACATGTATCTACTAATGAATAAATGCACATTTACTAGCATCAAAATGACACGCACTAGTCTAATAAATTGCATAGATAAATTATTATGCAATTGATTGTTCATGTATACCATATTTTCATGATCAAAATGACACACACTACCTTATACGAAATTCATTGTGTAACTATTTAACATGCACATTTTCTTATCTACCAATATGAAAAAGCTGATATAATATAAAACTCATTGAAATAAAACATAAATGAAGCATCAATAAAATCAAACATACATTTAGAAATAAAGTTAATTACTGAAATTTAAAAATATAATCACTCGCCCAATTAATAGGAGACCTCTTTATTGGCTTAATCCTCCACTTAACTTGCTTGCTAATCTCCCTGCTCAAGTAACCTAATTTCATATTAACATAATAACATATATCACTTTAGTGCCTATAAAATTCTAATAAACAAATATACCACAAAAGTTTACCTTATCTCGTAACTTAGTGTTTCAAAAGGGCTTTGGTTCCATACTTCACGTCAATTAATTTTCCTCTTCCTCAAAATAGTTCGTGTCAACTCAATCCTAAAATTTCAAGACTTTAATATCTTCAATTCTAATTTTAAATACACTTAAATTAAATCCATAAGACCCTCAGGCCAGGATTCGAACCCCTCTGACACAATTTAGGCCACTCTAACTCTCACAAGAGCTCCCTTCTTCCTGCACGCACAATCCCAAGGCCATTTTCTGCGACCACAAAAAGCCTTCTCCTTTTCCTTCCTTCGAGTACAGGGTCTTCTGCCATGGTAGGGCATCAAACTCCTCGTTGCAAGTACACAACTTCCTTGCACAAGCCGCTCTGTTCATCCTCCCGCAAGCGATGTTGCCTGCTCGTCCCGTACATCGCGTCGTTGACGTGTATTCTCTTTACGTATGCGATGTCGGCTTCGTCATTATCAAGAGAACTCACAAC